AAAAAAAAAAAACCCCAAATTAAAAATGTAATCAAAATATGTGCCATTGAAATGAGCAGACACATCTCAGAAGAAGCACAAATGGCCCATAAATATAGGAAAAAATGTACTCCATTGTGTAAAACCACCATATTTTCTTTATCCATTCATCTGTTAATGAACAGATAGGCTGCTGCCAAGTCTTAGATGTTATGAACGGTGCAGCTATAAACACATGCGTGCATGGATCACTGTGATATGATGTCTTTAGCTCTCCTGGGTCGAATGGAATTTCTACTTTGAGTTTTTCAAGGAACCTCCATACTTATTTCCATAGTAGTCGCAGTAGTTGGCATTCCCACCAACAATGCAGAAGCAATTCCTTTTTCCCCACAGCCTCACCCGCATTTATTTGATTTCTTGATAATAACTATTCTTTCTGATGTAAGATAAAAACTTGCATCCAATAACAACTTAATATACCTTTATACACATAAAAGGAAGCCTAATACTATTCTTCCACTCACAGAAAGAACATCAAAAATAACCTACTTTCTTTCATGAAATCAGTAAATAAACCAGCAAGCTTATCAAAGAATCATTTCAATCTAACATTTTATTTAGCAGACAAATCAGGTGGGCAATTTGTTAACAATACATTTTTGTAAAGTTACTAAGTAAAAAAAGATAGACAAAACATAGTGTGATTCAATTTATATGAAATTCTAAATAAAGCAAAATTCGTGATAGAAAGTGAATCACCATCTGTCAGGCCTGGGATGAGAGCAGAGGCTGACTACACAGGGCCACACGAGAGGTTAGGAGGAGACAGGGTGTTTTCTGTCACGATTCTGGCGGTAGGCAGACAACTGTGCATGTTGTCAAAACTCCTAAACGCTATACTGCAAACTGGAAAATGGCATTATGTAAAACTCTACATCAACATTTTAAAAAGATCGAATGTAATAAATCAGCATGCTTTTCTAAATATCATTTCAGTCAAAATAGTTTATTCAGAGCAAGGTCTGGGTTCCATCCCCAGTATCACAAAAAAAAAAAATTTAACTCAGTAGAAAAATACTTATTTGTAGAAAATCTACAGATAACATAAAATACTTTTTCTAAGCAGTGTTTCTAAGAAATAGCTTAATTGTCCTCTAGAAAAACCAGCAAAACCAAGAAGTACTTGAAAAGTAATTTTGAGTGCAATTTAAAATTCTCCAAAGCAGGTGCATAGCCTCCCCACAGGGAGGTGGTACCTGGAGCCACTGGATACCTTCTCCAGAGCTTTATAGGACGGGGCTGGGGATTTAGCTCAGTGGTTTCAGTGCCTGCCTTGCAAGCGCAAGGTCCCGAGTTTGATCCCCAGTACCGAAAAAAAAAAGTATCTAATCCACCAGAACTTTACAGATGGAATGGAGGATGTGGCCCTGTGGTAACCAGAGACTGGCAGGAGTCAGCCACTGCCACCTGGCTGCACGGGTATCTGATGGCAGGAAAAAGCTTGGCCTTACTATACTGACAGCTTCTGATGTCCAAAGAGAAGCACAAATCTGGCCTCTGACATGAAATCTTCCAAGTTTTTGTTTGTTTGGACTAAACAAAACACGGGCCTGGGCAGGATTATGACCTGTGGTTCAGTCTATGATTCAGAACCCTATCAACAGCACAACTGGACTTGTGCTCCAACTGCTTACCTCTTTGCCTGTGGTCCAGAATAACATGGGTATCAGGGCCACGGAAGTAAAGTCCATCTCCAAATTACACAAAGGGTGGGTGTTTTTGACCCCTACGGGGAACCCAGATCCTATTGGTAAGAAAAGTAAAGACGTGCAAGGATGAAGAGAGAAGGGCCGAGGAAACACTGCAGAGGGACGACTTTCAGTTCACAGTCAGCATCCAGACTCCAGAGCAACAAAATAGTCCATGTGCTGAAATTTCAGAACTTCATTGCCCCAACTGGTCCAGCCTGGCTGTAAATTTCGAGCAAACAATTCCAAACATTCCCCACCTGGCTTGATGTAGTCTTTTAGAACCTCTGTTGAAAAAAGAGAAAAAAATATATGATCAAGAAAGAAATCCTTTTCTGTTTAGCATGTAAGAGAAGGAGGAGGAGGAGGAGATTTTACTTTTAAAGAGCAAATTAATGCCAAGGATTTTCTCACAGCCTTTATTTACTATTTATAGGCAGATAGTATAAGTATCCTTGAGATCAGGAACAATAAGTTCCGAACTTTCAGTAGTCCTGACTTACTGGCCTTCATTTATAAATGGGAAGTGAAGTTTTTAATACCCACGTAGGCGACTCTCCAGTTTTCCAATACTACTAACACATCTCCTGAAAACTTAATAAATGTAATTCATGCACCACAAAAGAACTCTATAGAAACAATACAAAGATAATCCGCTTTTAAAATAGAGATAAGGGCCGGAGATTTAGCTCAGCGGTTTGGTGGCCTGCCTTGCAAGCGCAAGGACCCGAGTTCAATCCCTGGTACCAAAAAAAAAAAAAAAAAAAAAAGAGATAAAATGTATGTCTCTTTATAACATAATACTCTGGTGAAAAAAATATAGAAATATGCGGAGAAATAATTAACAAATAACTAGCACCTCTTCAGCTTTAACTGGGTAGTACTAAAAACATGCCCTCACATTTAATTTCTAGATCTTTCTTTACCTAAAATTGTACCATATTCCCACAGTTAAGTAGTCTAAAGCTGGGCGCGGTGGCACACACCTGTAATCCCAGCACTCCAAAGGCTGAGGCAGGAGGATCGCTGTGAGTTCGAGACCAGCCTGAGATACATAGTGAGTTCCAGGTCAGTCTCAACTACATAGTGAGGCTCTGTCTCAAAAAAAGAAAAATAGTAGTCTATATTTACATATTAACAACGACTACCTGGAAAATTACACGTTGTTGGGAAAGGTGCTATACATACATGTTGGGTAAGCACCTGTTACCTACACTAAATGAGAGAATATCCTAGGAGGATTTTTTAAAGCATAGTTGAGATGGATGACAAATATTAAGACAGCCTCACTTTGATCGTGTCTCTGGTTACTGATTTTAACCACATATCAGGAACTGAATATAAAAATAATAATTCAGAAAAGCAAAGTACTAGAATAAGCAAAGATGGCCCATAATTGCTACACAAAGTTGAGTTTAGCAGAAACCTGTCAAATTCCCTGAAGGACGAATAAGGCTTCCTTGGGAATTATTGCCAGGTAAGGCTTACAAGTCCACACATCCCATTCTTTAGGTTTCATAAGGTTCTTCAGCTGCCCTCACAGCACAATACTTGCAAACTGATCTAAAAGTAGTGGTTTTGTACACCAAAGTTCAAGGAGGAATTAAAAGTTTGTATTGCTATAATTCAACTGAACTCCAATGTGAGCTCTGGTAGGTTCTAGAAGTCAATGGCATGAAAGAACTCTAGTCCTTTCCTAAGTATATAATTAAATGCTACTGCATTTGGAACAGAAAGGTTTCCCAAATCTTAAAGAATAATTCTAAACTCCTTTTCCATTTTCTTCCCATAAATGCAAAGCCTTACCAGCTTCCATTTACTTTTAGTGTGGTCTAAGGTATAGAAACAAGATTTTCTTTTTATGTTGTTCAGATTTTGGGTACAAATATGTGAGAGGAGTTTTACATGGGAGTCAGCCAGCCAAAAATGTTTATTATTCTAAGCACCCATTACAATCAGTGCTAATGGACTTAACAAAGAAAGCAGAATTACATGTTCTCTATGAGTTTACAATCTAATAAACATAGCCAGATACTCCTAGTGGAAAAACACATACAACTTAAAACCATTTATTACTGTCCTTCCTCAATGTAATGTATTTTCACATGTTTTTTTTCTAGTTGAAAAAAATCAGATACTAATTTTATAACATTAACTACATCTGTTTTATGTCAGAACAAGGGGAAAGAATTGAAGGACAATGAAACTAGGCATGATGGTGCCCAACTGTAAAATTAGCACTCCGGGAGGCTGAGGCAGGAGATCACAAGTCAAAGCCCAGCCTGGGCAATTTAGTGAGACTCTGTCTCAAAATAAAACAGGCCTGAGGATGCAACTTGGTGCAAAGGCCCTGGATTCAATCCCAAGTAAGAGCAAAGAAAGGAAAAAGGAAAGAATTAATAAAATCATTCTTATCCATTTAAAATAACAACCTAAAAAACAAGTAAGTAAAATAACCTAAAATTAAATACAAATACATACATTTAATCACAAATATGATACATGTACACCTGGACGCTTACATAACACCTGGCAGTAGTAAACCATCCAACCACAGAAAGGCAGCAATCAGCACGGTGCCAAGCATTACTTTTGCTCTGGAAACATGGGTTAGAAAAAGGGGAGAAACAGCCCAAACATCAATGCATAAAATCTCATCAGCTACATTTCACTCTTCAGATAGAAACCGTTAGTAAGTAAAGTAGAAAAAGGAGTTGAAAACCCTCTACTATAAAATAAGGAAATCATTTTTTTACTTAAATACTTTTATTTCATAATTTTCCTACCACTGTTTAGCATGTAGAACAGTCTAAAACTTAAAATTTAAGAATATTCATTTAAAATGTTAGACTGTAAGCTATAGCTATCGATGATTTATCTTTCATTCTATAGGAGGAAATTTTATAAACACATCACTTTGAAATGGAATTTGCTGCCAGTGTGTTAGGTTGTGCTATTTTTTCTTACATTTTGCAACAGAAATAACAAATTAAATTTTTTAAAAATCCTGTGTTTCAAACAAGACAAAGAACATTTCATTTTATGAATACAACATAAACAGTTTAAGAACGTTTACAGGTAAAAGTTCTAAGCACTATATCTAGAACACGTATTGTGCAAATCCCTAATTATAATTTCAGGATAAAATATGCATAGAAATTTGAAAGCTGTCTGATGGCTTTAACTTGTATGTATGCCCAAAATACATAAAAGAATATGAACTAAAACAAAAAAGGATTACAAATGTTTCTTGTCATTTTTTAACCAACATATATAGTGAGGTATTAAGATTTTTTTCCCCTAAAGTGCAACTTTTGTTTTTAAATGTGCCTAATTCTAAAAATGTGTCTGTGCTGCTCTCTTCTGGGAGGATGGGAAAACCGTGTTTCATACTCACTAGGCTATATACTACTGCAGCGGAAGACAAATTTTTGCTCACTATTTTTAAATCTTTCTGTCTTAATATAATTTCACTCTATTTTAAAGAAACTGGGAAACAGCTTGATTATCATTTAAAAATAAAATATTTGGGTGCTTAGGTGTTTTTGTTTTCTCTTGTTTTTAAGATAGGGTCTTGCTGGGTAGTTCAGGCTGGCCTCCAACTCACAACAATCCTTCTGCCTCACGATCTGGCACACTGGGATTACAGACATGTGCCACCAAACCCAGCTGTTTGGGGATTCTTTTTAACTAAAATATAAACCCTAAAACAAACACTAACTTAAGCTTTGGCACTCACCAATTGAGAAAGAAAATTCAAACAACAGATTCGATTTCCCCATTGAGCACAACCAATGTCATATCCATTTGTTCGTAAAAGAACAGTGCAGTGTCACTCTTCACAATCACAAACTGAACGCATTAAAGAGTTCATGCAGTGAACATCTGAAGGAGATTATTCACTGAGAATCCCTTTAAGTAAAGACTGTACAATCCCGTAGACATCTGAAGATCTCCCTATTCAAGGGATTCTAAAAAAGATATCTTTGCATAAGTAATTTAAGATAATAGAAATCCTGAGTGCTACCAAAACACTTCTTCTGAAAACTATGTTTTCCTATACTTTTCTTATTGCAGAGACTAAAATACCTGACAGCCAAAGTTAAAGGAGAAAGGATTTATTAAGCTCACAGTTCATAGAGGTTTCTGTCCATAATCAGCTGGCTCCAAGGTGGGGTGGCAGAGGGGCCACAGTTCATGGCAATGTGAGACAGCAAAAGCAACAAGGGAAGGGTAGGGCCCTCAACAGCACTGCCCTGCCCCTTTTGTCTCATGCAGACTACTTAGGGCGACACTCACATCCTCAACCCTAGTGCCCTCGGACCTAACACTGCACCATGAGTCAACTCCAGAAAAAGGCCCACCTATGACTGCATGAGGCTTTGGGGGACATCTAGACACAGCCCTAACATTCTAGAAAAAACAAATCAGAAGTAATTTCCCAGATAACTAAAGAGCTGATGACCATGATGAAGAATGTGGTTAGTGAATCTAGAGCAGATGCAGCTTTTGAAAAATAGAGGAGCTTAGGCAAATGATGGAAACCACAAATGCCTAACACAGGAAAGAGATGGGATTCATGGAAAAGATTCAAAGAGATATCCAGGAGATTAAAAATCCCACTGAAAGGATGTGCAGCAGAATCAACCAATATGAGGGCAGAATCAGATATGGAAGACGAGTTTGCAGTTAGTGATCATGAAAAGAAAGACTTCTCAAAAATAGCAAGGGGCCATGAAAAATCAATCTACAGCCGCTAGATGATGCAAAGAAGAATAACATAAGACTGATTAGAATCAATGAAAAAATCGGGAGATACCACGAAGGATATCAAAAATATATTTACAGAAGTAATGGCGAAAAACTTCCCAAGCATGGAAAAAGTCATGCAGATAAATGAGGCATATAAAGTTCCAACTAGCCATGATCAAAAAAAAAAAAAAAAAATAAACCAATGAAAAAAAAAAAAAAAAAAAAATCTATACCAAGGCATACAATAGTCAAGATTCCAGAAATTCAACACAAGAACAGAATATTAAAAGCTGTTAGTGAAAAGAAACAAATCATTTCCTTTATAAGGAAAGCCCATCAGGGTCACAGCAGACTTCTCAACACAAACCCTCAAGTCAAGGAAAGCTCGGCGTGAACTATTTCAAGCCCCCCCGCTCAAAACTCTAACCCAGATTGATGTACCCTGCAAAACTATCTTTAAAATTGACGGAGAAATGATACTTTCATGATAAAGAACATGTGAAGAAATTCATGACTACCAAACCAGCATTCCAAAATGTTCTGTAGAATATTTTAGAGACAGCAAAGATTTTAACTCCGTGAACCCCAATAGAATGAATCTACCAGGCAAAGCAAATAATTAAACAAAATAGAAAGGGACCAACAATGGGAAAATAATATGACAAAGTCAATACATATCATTAGAATCATCAATGTAAACGGTCTCAATTCACCAATCAAAAGAAACAGTCAAATGGATCAAAAACAAGATTCAACAATATGCTGCATACAAGAAACATATTTCAATAAAAAGAAATTCACAGACTGAAAGTCAAAGGATAGAAAATACTCCTCCATGGGATAGGAACCTGGAAAAAGCAGGGGTAGCTATTCTGTTTGAGGACAAAGTGGATTTCAAGCCAAGATTGATCAAGAGATACAAAGAAAGTCACTACATACTTGCTAAGGTAACAATCCAAGAGCAAGAGGTAACAAGTCTCAAATATATATGCACCAAATACCAGCATACCCAACTACATAAAATAAATACTAACAGGCATGAAAAAAATCAGATAAGCATCAATACAACTGTAATAGAGGACCTCAGTACTACACTGTCACAAATAAATGCACTCTACAAAAAAACAAAGAAAAATCAGAATTGAACCAAACCTTAAAACAAATGGACTTAGTAGATATCTACAGTGTTCTGCCCCACAGTGAGCTCAAATAAACAACATAATGTTAAGCATGAAGCTACTAGAAAAAGAGCAAGTTAAACCCAAAGCTCATACAAGGGAGGAAATTATAAAAATCAGAGCAGAAATTAATGTAATTGAGACTAAGACAACAAAACAAAGAATCATTGAATCAAAGAATTGGTTCCTTGAAAGATTAAATAAAACAGACAAACCTTTAGCCAACCTTATCAAAAAAGTAAAGACTCAAATCCATGCAATTAGGAATGAAAAGGTTGAAATCACAACAGATCCTGCAGAAATCCAGAGGATCATCAATACCTAATTTTAGAACTTGTACTCTAATAAGATGGAAAACACAGAAGAAATGGACAGATTCCCAGATACATATGTATTCTAAAGCTGTTTCAAGAAGATATAAAAATTCTAAATAATCCAGTGTTCGTCAATGAAACTGAAGATGTAATTAAAAACCTATCAACAAAGAAAATCCCAGGTCCTGATGAATTCACTGCTGAATTCTAGAAGAAAGTTAGAGAAGATCTAAGGCCACTACTCCTCAAACACTTTAATGCAAGTGAGAGAAGCAATACTCCCAAACTCATTCCTGGAAGCAAGTATTACCCAAATCTCAAAACCACAGAAAGCCAACCAAAACAGAGAACTGCAGCCCAATCTCCCTAATGAATATAGATGCAAAAATCCTGAACAAGATACTGGCAAACAATAAAATCATCGAGAAGATTATACACCAAGACCAAGTAGGATTCATCCCAAGAAGATTGTACACTGTGACCAAGTAGGATTCATCCCAAGGATGCAGGGATGATTCAACATATGCAAATCAATGAATCCATAAATATTATATTAACAGAGTCAAGAACAAAAATCATATGATCATCTCAACAGATGCAGAAAAAGTGTGTGACAAAGTCCAATACCTGTTCATGATTTTAAAAACCAAGGGAAAATTGGAATGGATGGCCTTTAACTCAGTCTAATAAAAACTATCCATGACAAACCAACAGCCAATATCATACTAATAGACAAAAACTGAAAGCTTTCACTCTAAAATCAGGAACAAGACAAGGATGTCCACTGTCACCACTCCTATTCTATATAGCTCTGGAAACATTAGCCAGAACAATTAGACAAGAGAAAGAAATAAAAGGAATAAGGATAGGAAAGGAAGAAGTCAAAGTATCATTTGTGCAGATGATGTGATACTGTGCATGGGAACCTCTACCAAAAGACTTCTAGATTTGATAACCAAATTCAGTAGCACAGCTCGTTACAAAGTCAACACTTAAAAATCAATAGCATTCCTGCACACAAATAACAAAATCACTGAGAGAGAAATTAGGGAATATTTCACAATAGCATTAAAAAAATGAAATACGTAGGAAACAATTAACAAAGGTAGTAAAAGTACTTTACATTGAAAACTACAGTACTCGGAGAAAGGAGACTGAAGAGGATACCAGAAAATGGAAAGATATTCTTTGTTCTTGGGTAGGAAGAACCAATACAGTAAAAATGGCCATACTTCCAAAATTGTTATACAGATTTAATGCAATCCTGATCGAAATACCAATAGCATACCTCACAGACTAAGAGAACACAACCCTAAAATTCATTTGGAACCAGAAGAGACCTAGAATGGCAAAAGCAACTCTGGGCAACAAAGGCAAGGCAGGAGGCATCACAATCTGCGACTTGAAATTATACAAAAAAGCGACCGTGATAAAAACAGCGTAGCACTGGCAAAAAAAACAGACTTTCTCTGATGTGAGAAGCGGAAAGGGAAAATAAGGACCAAGATGTATAACAGATACTGGGAAATAGGAAGAAAAGGTTCAAATGGTGAACAAGAGGAGGAGAGACTAGAAAGGAAAAAGGGAAAGAAAGCTTTTGTAAATAAGGGAGGGAAGAAGAGGTTGAAGGGGAGGGGAGGGTGGAGCAAAACAGAAGAATCAAGACGGATCACATACAGGTGCAAATTTCCTACGATGACTGTGGACACTGGATCCAAAATGTACCAATAAAGTTAATTTAAAACAAAAGAATTTAAAAAATAAATCGTCACTTGGCAAAGTCAGCATTTACTGAACATCAAATAGGTGCTACTGAAGTCTAAATTATTTTCACCCTGAGACACTAAGCATCACCACTCCCTCTCTGAACGAGGACCACGGGGTAGGACCACACTGGCGCACCTCGCCCAAGGGGCAGAGCCAGGATTCACACTCGTGACAGCCACGCTCCAGAGCCAAACTCCCCGCCCGTCCTAGCTTAGTCTCCCTCGAGATGAGCACCAGCACCTCCTCTCAGAGAACCCCAAACTGAGGGTCTCCACCCAATATCCGGGGAGCGCTAACCGTCGCTCGTAGGACCACCGCGAGCTCTGGCCTTGGAACAAGCAAGGAATGAGCCGCTCACCGACTCCCCACTGCCCCGTCCCGCTATCACACTCCACAGTATTAAAACGCGCCTGTCTGACGTAACTCCCCAGAGTACCAACCATTCAAGCACTAACATCCATCCTTTGTAAAGGGCGCTTTCAGGACTTACCAGCAAGAGGCGGCTTATGCGAGTGAACAGCACAGGGCACGCTGACAATTAATTTATGGTCTGGAATCGGGGGCACTTCTGCATCTGTGCTCCTAAGCAAGACAGAACAAGACAGTAAGTCATATTTGAAAGAATGATTTTGAATTATGAGCCACAATGATATTTTTCTTTTTTTGGTACGGTGGATCAAACTCAGGACCTTGCGCTTGCAAGACAGGCGGCAGAAACACTGAGCTAAATCCCCGGCCCTCACTTTCAAATAGTATCTAATTTTTCTAAACAAATTTAAAGACTGACTCGATGAAGGAAATCAATAATTTAACAACTAAGACATCTCCTATGTCGGTGATGGCGAACGTTCTGGAACTTTCCACGATGCAAACGTCCACTGTGGACCTGCGAAGACGTTCGCCATCACTTCACACAGTAATGACAATTACACACTGGAGAAAACAAGGATAAAACTGCAGGTGTGATGCAATTCACACTTTCTGCTCTTTTAGATTTTCAAAACTGAAAATTAAGAAAAATCAAAGACTGTTGTTAATAATTTTAAAAACCTAAAAATTAATGCATTTAGATAATTTTGGAAAAATCACCCTTCTCACCTTAATGGCAGAGTGTTTTTCTCTTGAACTCTTCCCAGTATAAGACCTTCATAGGGCTTTTTGTGTGGAGAATCTAAAGGGAACACAAACTCTCCCGTCTTGGTAATCTGGTAGAAAGAAGTCGAAGGTCACTCCATCGCCTCCATTCCCCTCCCACAAGAAGAAGTTATTAAATCTCCAGGCTACCACTGTCCAATAAAACAGTATATACACCAGAAACGGGAGCTACAGGTCTATTTTTAAATTTTCTACTAGTAACATTTTGTTTGTTTGTTTGTTTGCTTTGAGACAGGGTCTCACTGTATAGTTGAGACTGACCTGAAACTCACTATGTAGCCCAGGCTGGTCTCCAACTCACAGCGATCCTCCTGCCTCGGCCTCCCGAGTGCTGGGATTACAGGCGTGCGCGACCACACCTGGCTCTACTATTAACATTTTTTAAAAAACTAAAAATGCCAGGTGTGGTAGCACGTTACTATGATCCCAACACACAGCAGGCAAGAGGATCACAATTTCAAGGCCAACATGGACTTCAAAGAAGAGAGCCAGATCCTGTTTCATAAATAAGTAAATCAATAAATGTAAAACAAATAAAATGTGAAAAGAATACAATGAGGTTAACTGTAAATACTTAACTTTAATAAATCTAAAATATTACTTCAATGTGCAATCGATTCCAAGAAGCTACCGAGCTATGTTACATTCTTTTACCTGCTAAGTCTTCACCCTATTTGAAGTAACTAAACAACCAAGTCAGTAACAGAAAGTCCTTCTATCTCTGCAAAGGCCAATCGGGCAGCACTACTTATCCAAAGTACTGTATAAATACTAGCAAATTCTTATTCTTTGGGGAGCCTTTATATTCAATAATTATTCCCTTTATTATAATGTGTAATTACAAATGTTGCAGATGGTACAGTACATTTTTTAGAATCCTACAGCATTCTAGGCTTACTACACCTTCTCTTGGAACTGATCGCTTCCACAGATGAATGGTCTAGGTTTTCCTACGTTAGCATTTTACTGCATGGGACTTAGGAAGGGGATCTCTTCCCGGCTTTGGCCCCCAGCGGGCAGGTGGACCGAGGTACCACGTTCCTGTCATTAATCCTACACCGAAGCAACCAAGCTCAACACCAAAGGATGCCACAAAAGCAAAGACACAACTATAAGTATCTGTTTGCCAAGTCCTATAAAATAAGTATAAATAAACAACGCACATGGCTTTCAGAAGAGTCTGGTAAAGCCGGGTGTGATGGCGCATGCTGGTAATCCCAGCACTCGGGAGGCCAAGGCAGGAGGATCTCTGTGAGTTGGAGACCAGCCTGGGCTATATAGTGAGTTCCAGGTCAGTCTCAACTATACAGTGAGACTCGGTCTCAAAACAAAAACAATAGTCTGGTAGACTACAAAGTATACAAAAGCACATAGAAATATAACTTTGTTGTGTCTAAAATAAGTATACCAGTTCTTAAACACTGGATTACAACAGCTTATATATTCAAACTTTAGGAGGGCTTTTATGACGCCCATGTGAAAAGTCAGTCAGTATCTTTAAAAGAAAATCCAATGAACTCTGAACTGAGACTTTAGTTTTTTGCATTTATATTTTACTCTTACAACATGCAGAGATATTAAAGCTCATCCACCAATGCTACAGCAAGAATCGTTTATTTTAAAAACAGGTTTGGCAGCACATAGAGTGCTGAGGACTGAGTCAGGGGTATAAAAGATTCTCGGTCCAGCATCTTCTAATTCACTCCACGATGGCTGACACCTTGTGGTTCTCTGCCTTCCTCCGCAGAAATGTGAGGTACGGAGGCCACAGTGAGTGACCAGACCTGTGGGGAGGCTGAGCGGGAGAAGACAGGCAGGAAGGCAATTTACTTTTGTGTTTGGTGAGGGACCCGCTCCCCCAGGTTTCTGTTTGCCCCATTTTACACTGGATCTGTAGAGACCGGAGCTCTCTTACGGCTCGGTCCAGTGTCTCCCTGACCAGCAGTGAAGGACTCCACTACCGGAAGCAGCAGAGAGCGAGGCGACGGCCTTGAGAAGAAGAAGACGAAAGTGTTGAGCAGCAAAGCAAAAGTTTCAGTTAGGCCCCGGGGAGGAAAGGACCACTGACGGGCTAAACACTGCCCAGTAGACACCGTCTTTCCGTGACGGTGCCACGCCACACTGACGCACCCTGACCTCTGGACTCACTTTCACCCAGTGCCATTCGGCCAGCGCTGCCACAGACCAAGAAGGGTAAAGCTCGTCCTTCACAAAGCGCAGGTGCTTCTGTCTGTTGGTCACCCAGGTAACAACAAGGCAGTCGGGGGCAGCCAGCTGAGGGATGGGGACCTGCTGTATCTGCAGCGGCGATAAATAACTGTACCTGCAAGTGAACAGGAAAGAACAGGAGAAACTTTTGCTGTTAAAAGAAAAGAAAAGCAGGCAGGGGGAAGACCTGCCAAACACTGACCCCAGAAACGCAGAGCTCCGGGGCTGGTTATCCGTGTGGCCAACTGTGGGGCCACGGCGCCACCTGGTGGACACGCTCTCACACAAAGTCAACGGGAACTCCGTTTTTCTCTTCCTGCTATGGAATTGTCAGGCTGTGTTCATTTTTAATCACTTCGAAACACATTTTGGAAACTTTTCTACATATTTCTTTCCCGTTCAAACTTAAGCAAATATCATTCGGGTCCTCTCATGTCCCCGCTCCTGCAGTACTAGGGATCGACGCCAAGGGCCCTCTACCTCGCAGCCACATCCCCAGACCTATTTTTTATTTTATTTTATTATGAGACAGAGTCTCACTAAGCTGCCCCGCACGACTCAGACCCTCCTGCCTCAGCCTCTCTCGCTGCCGATTACAGTCGCTCAGCTAACCGGGCACCTGGCAGCATGTGAGACAGCGTCAGGAAAGTTTCCCTCAGACCCTGCCCACGAGGCTGCCTGCCCCCCACGCCCGTCCCCTCAGCTCCTCCCGTGCCTTCCTTCCTTGCAGGCAGTTCCACTGGGCTCTTTTGCTCCTAGGAACAAAGGGGGCCCTGCGGAGCCGGAGCTGTCCCCTCACCTGCTCAAGTCTGCCAGTTTCCGCCCAGCAAGTGGCTCCCCCGCCTGCCCGACCACCAACAGCCGCAGCCCTGCTCCCCGGCACCCTCCACCCCTCCTTTAACCTGCGAACCCCCAGTCCTGAGTGGGCCCCACAACTGCGCGCGTGTGTGTGTGTGCGCGTGTGTGTGTGCGTGTGTGCACGCGTGCTACAGAGCCTGGGCCTTGCACGCGCTCTACCACTGAGCTGCACCCCAGGCAAAACCGCAACTCCAGGGCCGGGGATTTAGCTCAGCGGTGCCGCCGCCTGCCTCGCAAGCGCAAGGTCCTGAGTTCGATCCCCGGTACCAAAACAAACAACCAACCAAAAAAGGAAACACACACAACTTCATTCACCTTCTTCACAACCGGAAAATCGGGCGAAGAAAAATGCAGAGCAGATGAATCGAACCACTAAATGTTTATAAAACCGAAGCTCAGGTTCTCAAAACTATTCAGCAACTCACTCGTCCTGGGTCAAATCCTAGAAAATCCCCCACTTCCCGAGTCCCGCGCCCTGGCTCACCTTCGCAGAGGAACTCACACATCAGTAGAACTAAAGGTCGCCAAGTACATCAACTACCCAAACATCGCCTCCCTCCTCCCTACCACCTGTGCACTTAGTCTTGCCAACCATTTCCCTCCTTCTGGACCTGCAACGTCGCCGCACCGCTTCACTGGCGACTTATAATATGTTCGTGCTATGCGGAGTGAAAAGAGAGGAAAGAAGGGAGCGAGGGAGGGAGAAGAGAGGTGGGAAGAACGGAGAAAAGAAAATCTTCTCCTTTCGGTCTCCCGTCTACACCTACGCGGAGGACGAGTCTTTCCACTTCTCCCCCAGTCAACAGTGTGGCGTCTGCACCTCGCCTGCTCTGAGAAAAGTAAGTGGCTCCCGGGGGCAGATGCAAGGCCTGTAACACTGGGATCCACTGGGACACGGTGGCTCTCTGAGGTCAGGAAGGACTGGCAAACATTTCTTAAAGGAACAAAGGAGTGAAAGAATCCAGAGCTCAAGTACCCAAGTTCCCCATCCCCGCCAGGGCCCTGCAGCAGGTCAGCACTTCCCGTAATCTAACGATGGTTTAAAATTAATTTCGTCACAGTATGAAGAATGGGAGCTCAAAAATTTGGATCCAATAACTGCAGATTTCTTGGATGCCTGAATGTTATTTAACTGGGTTGATGGGGGTATTTATAGCCCTCTTCTAGCTCTGATCTCATGGAAATCACTGGGCAAACTCCAAGATATGCAGCTTTATATGTCAAAAACATGCAGAGAAAAAATGTACAGGATCACCTATTCTTCAGAGGAAACGTGTATCTCTGTGAGTTTGGCTTAGGCAAGGACTTCTTAACATACAACACTAAAAGCACAAACAATAAAAGAAAAACTAGATAAACTGGGTTATATCAAAATTTAAAACTTTGCATTTCAAAGAACACTATTAAGGAAAGTGAAACAAAATCCAAAGAATAGGAGAAAATATTTGCAAATCATATATCTGATCCAAAATATATAAAGAACTCTTACAAATCAACAATTTTAAAACCCTAACTTTTAAAGTGTGCAAAGGCAGGATTGCAAATTCAAGGTCAGCCTGGTAAGTGAGAGTCTGTTTCAAAACAAAAAATAAAAGAGGCAGGGAGGCAGCTTAGAGGTAGGGTGACTCTAGGTTCCATTCCCAGCACTGCGGAAAAAGAAAAACACAAAGGACTTAAGTAAACCACTTTCCACTTTCCATACAAGATAAGCAAATAACCAGCAAGGACTGGAGAAGATACTCAACATCATTAGTTATTCGGGAAATGCAAACCAAGACTAACACTTCATACTCACTGGATGCTGTTATTATTTTTTTTAATGGAAAATAACAACTGTTGACAAAAAAATCAGAAGTCTCACTGCTGATGGGAAATGGGAAATGGTGCTAGTTTACCGCTAGGTGAACAACTTGATAGTTCCTCAAAAATTTAAAGATGGAGTTACCACAGGGCACAGGAATTCTACTCCTGGTGTATACGGCAGAGAACTGAAGTGTACTGCCAGAGTTAAACTCCAAGTTTAAAACAACAGTCCTCAAGACTGACCTCACTTCTAAAACCAACGATAAATTCAGGTGCTTTCTAAAACCACCCTCAGACCAATAACCTGAGTTCTATGAGAAAGACTCACAGAACTTAGCAGAACTTCTTACTCAACTATGGCTTACTAGGAAAAGGGGTGCAGATTAAAATTGCTCAAAGGAAGAGAAGACCCAGATGCTAAAGACCTATTACAACTAAATGACGGATTGTACTTTGCTACAAAGAACGTGTCTAGGACAACTGGTGAAAGGGTCTATAGCTCAGTGTCAGAGCCTAGCAAACATGAAGCCCAGGTCTGACACTACTGGAAAGAGGGAACAGATACATATAAAAGCAATGCTAATTGCATATTTTAACAACTGTATTGGGATTACATAAGATAACATTCCTGTTTTCAGGAACTGTACACTGAAATACTTAAGTGTCCCTTTCACAAATTTATTCTCAAGTGATCAAAATTTTTTATTCATACAGATATTTATGCACACACAGAGACAGAGAATAGATACATGAATTCTCTCTATGATTCTTACACTTTAAAAGAAAAACATCCTCCTACTGGCACAGCTCACAAACAGAATAAGGAAGCTGAATTCATTCAGATAAACTTTGAGTCAAAATAGGAATTGTTATTTTCTAGACAACTGAACAGTGGGGAAATATAACTGAAGACATTTATTAGAACGAAAATGGAAAACTGTTTTCAAAACCCTATTAAGGGGCTGGGGACTTAGCTCAGTGGCACCACACCTGCCTGGTAAGCGCAAGGTCCTGAGATCAATTCCTGGTACCGAATGAACGAATAAATAAATAAATTTTTAAAATAAAAATAGAAGCCCTATTAAAAGGAAACATTTGGCCGAGGATTTAGCTCAGCGGTGCTGCCACCTGCCTTGCAAGCACAAGGTCCCGAGTTTGATCCCCAGTACCAAAAGAAAGGCAACATCATCTTGGTAAATGAACTTATCATCCTAAAAGGTGACATATGCATCATAAATTAAAAATATAAACAAATGTGAGGATGAATTAGATAAATTCACCCATAACAGGTTATTAAGGAAAACCAGAAATTTCTAAAGTTTACAATACCAAATAAGGCAAAAATATCGCCCCGTGGTGCTACAGAAACAACCCCGGCCTGCTCCAGCCAGAGGCTTTAGCTGTTAACACACATTATTGTCACTGTGCATGTAAGAGAATCACCTAGTTAAGGAAATTGGAACTTAAAACCACTGAAAGCATCATGGTGACTTAGATCATTAAGGTGAGAGCACGCGCGCTGGAAGGTACAGGCCTAGAGCTTTGAGAAAGCGTGTCTGATAGACGTTTCCTTTCCACGTACCTGTTACTTCTTTTGACTGATTTGTTCTGCCACGGTGGATCTATCACAATTGCATCAAATGTTTTCCTGCCTGAAATCAAAGACACAAGTTCAGAAAAGGGCCCCGAGTGGGAATGAATCACAGGAACCACAGAGGGGGCGGGGGGACGACGGTGCCAAGCAGGAGGGCCCTGGGCTCAATCCCTACCACGCAAACGTGTCCTCCAAAACGGAGATGTGTTCACTACAGACATAAATGTGCTGCCATCCATCAAAAGGACCTACAGTATTTATTCAAATATAATAACAATTTCTCTAAAAAGTGAGATTTCTCTTTCAAGTTAGTGACAGATTTTCATTTAATTTCTCCAATTGCTATTTTTGCAGAGATTACTTACAGATGACTGCAATTCACTGAGCTGGACACTAACAATTTATAGATTCCCTATAAATCTTGGCAGCCAAATTAATATGGTCTTTTCGAATGGAGGTGATTTTTGAATTTTTTTTTTTTTTTTGGTACCGGGGATGGAACTCGGGCCCTTGCGCTTGCGAGGCAGGTAGCAGAACCACTGAACCAAATCCCCAGCCTTTAATGTAGGTGATTTTTGAAACATTTTTATTTTTTATTTTCAAATACTTTCAGTCTTATAACTGATACATTAATCATAATAAAATTTCCCCGATTACCTATTCATGTCCTTTTTTTCTGGTCCAGAATCCAAAACTAGGATCACATATTGCACTGTTTCCACAGCTCCTAAGTCCCCTCCAACCAGGCGAATTCTCAGCCCCTGTCCTTCAAAACCTTGACATTTGTAGAGGCTATGGGTAAGTTATTTTATAGACTGCCCTTAAGTTGGTTGTAGTATTTCCTCGTAATTAAATGTAGGCTCTTCAGGCAGTATGGGGGCACACATGTGTAATCCAGCACTCTGGGAAGCTGAGGCAGGGGGATCCCAAGTTTGAACCCAGCCCAGGCAACTTAGCAAGATACTGTCTCAAAATAAAAAAGGGCCGAGATGTAGCCCCCAATGCAAAGGCCCTGTGTTCAATCCCAGTACCACCAAAAAAAAAAAAAAAATGGAGAGAGACGAGAGATACATTTGTTTGTTTGTTTGTTTGTTTGTTTTGGCAAGAGTACCAGCAAAGTAGCATGTGGTGCACTCTCCATCGAGATGGCTCAGCGTGTCCGGCCCTCACCACGGGTGGGTGCTGTCTGCCAGTTTCTCCAGTTTCCTTGTAATTAACAAGTCTCTCCTGGGGAGATCCCCGAGGACAACGAAAACACCCCGTCTCATCTGCACACCATTTCGACATGCAGCTATGACTGTAGCGCTTGGCAAATGGAAAAGCTCCATTCCCACAGACTATCTGCTGCACTAAGTAGAATTTTGCTGTAATGAGGAGCTGGCCCTCCTCACACTTTTCTTTTTCCTTTTTATTATTTTTTCCTCCTACTTTTATAAACTTAAGCATTCAGGTGCTGAGTGAAGCTGCAGGGGGAAGGGTGCAGGGAAGACGGAAGGTTTCCGCGCAGCCCGCACCCAGCACAGGCTCCGGCACGGCCCTGTGCCACTTCTGCTGATTTGACTGCCAAACATCCGCGTCTTTTTTCTTTTAAAGATATACTTTTGTACGTGTATAATCTTACAAGTAATCAAAGGAGCACAAATTAAAATAAGGTGACACCTTTTAAAGTATCAAAGTAACAAAGCTCAATGAAGAATGGAAAATTTTGCTCAGACACAGCACAACTTTTCCCACTAATGTGTTGCTTTGCCATTTGCACAGAAGCATTTCTGACACTGCTGCCAGGGTGACCACCACGTGTGAGATGGCCGGGTAGCAATTAAAAGAGACTTTTCACCAGTAAACTACGTAGGAGTTGCTTGGTACTTGACACTTTGCTATAAACTTTCCAAATAACCACAGCAGATTAAATTCAACTTCACCGATACACCTCTTACCTATCACATGCCTTAAAGTGGAATTTATGAAAAACATAAATCACCAAGTGAAGAACCTAATACAAAGTATCGCACCTAATCATCAGAGACCCTGACCCAGGAGTGACCGAGCACACTGTAAAGGCCGGGAGACCAAAGCTCAGTTGTGTGAAGCAAACAGGCTGGAGACTCGAAACTGAGGCCAGGTCTCAGAACTGAAACTCAAATACAAGCCTGTGTCATCGTGGGCCTCGGTATTTAAACAACTCTGTACAGGAAAATGTTTCGGGAAATTGCAGACAAGAAGCTTGAACATGACCTTAAATTTTAACCTAGGGCTGGCGATGTAGCTCAGCGGCACAGCATCTGCCTGGCAAGCGCAAGGTCCTGAGTTGGATCCCTGGTACCAAAAAAACAATTGTAACCTAAAAGGCTAGGAAGGATATGAGGATTTTAATAACTAAGATGTTCTACTCTGCTCTGAAGAAAAGTCGTTTGGCTAAAGACCATTACTCCACTGTACTGTGAACTCCCAAGTACAAAGAGCTAACTGTAATTGCTCTCTGGGGACTAGTGTGGCCCTTTATTCATAACAAAAATTTAAAATGTTTTAAAAAGCAGAGCCTGGGATTTAGCTGTGGTGCTGCCGCCTGCCTTGCCAAGGGCAAGGTGCTGAGTTGGATCCCTGGTACCAAAAGAAAAGCAAACTTAGCCCTTTAAAATTGAATTTCTTGGACTGGGGGTTTGGCTCAGTGGTTCCGCCGCCTCACAAGTAGAAGGTCCTGAGTTCAATCCCCAGTACCCCAAAAAATTAAATTAAACAAATTTTTAATTTCTTAAAAAATTAAACACCCTAAATGTTGGCTCCCATTTAAAATTCAGACTGTTTCAACTTCTGAGATGTCACACACACAAACACACACACAATATATTTTTTTTCTAATCATAAACATAATTACTTACAGTTCAGAAGTGGTTGCATACAAGAAATATCAGACAAAAGAAAACTGCTTTTTGGTGGTAGCAAGTACTTCTGTCCCATTAAAGTAATCATTTTTGAAAAGCTGGAGTCATTTTCAACAACTCGTGACAGTAAGTCCTGCTCTGCCACGGACAAATCCTCTTCCCTGAGCCGCAGCGTGGGAAGCTCCACCTCACCCAGAGCCTGCGAACGCTTTGCCAGCTCACACAATCCCGGCAGGCTGCAGGCATCCGGCGGTAAAGAGGTGGGCTCGCTCCGCTGGTCCTGCTTTTCAAAAAGCTGGTAAAGAAACCCACTTTTGAGGCCTTCTTGGATTAACCGTAAGGATCCATCCAAAATCTGTTCTCTGATCTGTTAAAGAATTTAAAGAACATTAGAAAGACACTGACGTTACAATAATTTTCTAAATAAGAAAGTTACTACTGTGCTTTGAATATCTGAGTTTCTGCATTAAAACCACCATTCTTAGTGTTAACATGAAAATAATTTTACACTACAATGAAGTGAACGTTCAACTGTGTCTTGGAACTGCTGTTTCCTAATTGCAGAAGGAAATAAACCTCACAACAACCTCGAAACACACATGTATGTCCTCTGAAATGTGCAGGATGGCCAACCATGGTGGCACTTGGGAGGCTGAGGTATGGGGATCCTGAGTTCGAGGCCAGCACGGCTACACAGTGAGAGCCTGCCTCAAATGCCTCAAAAACACCAAAAAATACGTAAGTAAGTAAATACAAGTGAAATAAAATGAATTTGATAATCTGGATATTTCTAGAAGGAAATGGAATTTCCTTCTTTTTTTTTTTTTTGTTCCAGGGATGGAACTCAGGACTCTGTGCTTGTGAGGTAGCCGGCGGCATCACTGAGCTAAATCCCCGGTGAAAATGGAATTTCTAATCTACGAAGAGAAGTGTAAACCATAAATTTAATCTTCAGAATTTTCCAGTGATCTAATTTTTTAAACATAACTTTGATTCTGTATGATACAGCTTGAATTATTCAAAAGAGAAACTCTATAAGTGAACATGTATAGTTTTGTAACAACACAACTACAATAATTACAAAAATCAAAGCTGAGTTCTACTTCTAGACAAGACAGAATGGCGAGGATCAGATTTACTCTTTGGCTTGAAATTACTTTTCTGCTGTCCTTTCGCATACATTTTGATCTTTATCCTCCCCCAAAATAAAGCTCATGTTAAGCCAATTAAATAAGACGCAAATCCAATCCTATGAACCGCTTCCAAAGCATCTCGCAGCCCACACGCCGTGAGGTGAGCTTACCGACCTCACACACTCCCTCTCCCTGCCTCCCCGTCTCACCGCGCCCTGCCTCGTCTTCCACAGTCCAACCACCCTGAACCTCTCGGGTTCCCTCCACAAGCCTCCCTCCATTCGCGTCTGAGCGTTAGCAGACGCTTCATCCTCTCCATCAGCCTCTGAACAATTCAGTGTCCGATCGGCTGGAACAGAACGAGCTCTTCCCTGTCCACACCGCCCTCACGCCTAGGTGGGACTCAATCTGAGACCCAACCCTCCTGGCTGGGCTTCTCCCTCCGGCTGGTAGCTGAGTTCCTCCAGAAACCACGCAACTGTGCATCTCCACCTCCAGTGGGACCAGGGCTGAAACCCGGCCTGACATACAGGTGGCCGCCCATGAATACCGGTAGGTAAAGTGAATCGGTTTCATTAAGAAGTAAAGGGACGAGGCCGGGGATGTAGCTCAGTGGTTCCGCCGCCTGCCTTGCAAGCCAAGGTCCCAAGTTCGATCCCCGGTTCCAAAAAAAAAAAGTATCACCTCAAGAAGTAACTGGACTAAGACGTAAGATATAAATGAATAAACAGATAGGAGGCAGGCTATTTCTTAACATCCCCTATACACCTTTGTTACTAATAGTCTTCATCTCAAAAGAGGATCGGGGACCAGGAAGAGAGGAGAATAAGGAAGGGTAAGGGACGGATACAGTTCGAGTACATTATATACAAGTATAAAACCCGTTCTTCTGTATGACTAATATGCACTAAGAAAGTCTTTATACCAACCCTTTTAACAGTTAATTCCTAAAACTACCTTACAGCTATATACGATGGGCCGGGGGCTGCCGCCCGCCTCACAAGCACAAGGTCCTGAGTTCAATCCCTGGTCCCCCCACCAAAAAGAACCAGTTATATATAATGCAGCAGTTCTACTTCTCAGTATGAACCCACAAGAATTAATAGAGTCTCATAATCTGGTTTCTCTTCTGATACAAATCTGTCTTTTGCTAAAATCAGAGTCTCAGGGGGCTGGGGTGCAGCGCAGTGGAAGAGCGCTGGCCGAGCATGCACAAGGCCCGGGGTTCAACTCTGGCACCACAAGACAAAAACACAGATGCCTCACACCCGTGGTGACACTGCATCATTCAGGACTGGAAGGCGGAAACAAGCCGATAAATGAAATGCGGCATCGGCAGAAAATAAAACGTCACTCAGCCTTAAAGAGGAAAAATTCTGATACAAGCCACAACGTGAGTGAGGCCCGCAAAGTGGAGTGAGCCGTCGGGATGATGTGACCCCACTTCTACGGGGTGCTCCCCGAAGACGCTGAAGTCACAGAAAGGGGTACAATGAGGGGTGCCGGGGGCTGGCAGAAGGGGCAACAGAGGCACTGCTTTATGGCCACAGAGTTTTATTTTGGGCTCATGAAAACCCTCCAGAACTGGACAGTGGCAATGCCACAGAACTATCACCTGAAAATTAAAATGTTATAAAGTTAAAATGTTAAGTTTTTATCATATATATCCTATCATAACATTTAAAAAGAGAAAAATGCCAGCACTGTGGTATGTGTGTGCAGTCCCAGCTACTTAGGAGGCTGAGGCAGGAGGATTGCCTGAGCACACCAGTTTCAGGCACAAGGTTGTCAGCTTGAGCAACGCAGAAAAAATAGAGAAACTCTATCTTACAAAAATAACTTTTGAAAAATCAAGAGAGAGACATATTAACTTAACATGTCCAAAACTGAAATCATCATTCCTCCTAAGTCAAATTCTAACCCCAATTTCCCCATTTCAATCAAAGGAATATCATGCAGAGTAAGGTTTAAAATGTTTGTATACTGTTTCCTCTCATTTCGTTAACCCCTAGACCTTTTATTTCTAAGTTCTAGAAATACAGTCTTCACCTTATTCAGGCTTTCTTCTGCCATTTTAGTACATTATCCATGAAAATAGGTTTTAAATGTCAATTTTTTTCTGTTTTTTCTTTTTTTTGGTACTGGGGATCGAACTCGGTACCTTGCGTTTGTGAGGCAGGCAGCACCAATGAGCTACATCCCCAGCCCTCGACAATGGGTTTCAATAACTTCTCTCTTTGCAGTGCTCGGGGTAGGACCCCGGGCCTAACACATGCTAGCCAAGTGCTCTACCAGTGAGCCACATCCTCAGCCCAACTTCTGTAACTTCTAAACCCTTAAGCTAATATTGTACAGGTTTACTTGTTACCTGTTTACACACACAGGTAGTATCCATTATAGAAATAACAATAAGTCACTATTTTTTGTGTGTGGGGTGGGTACCAGGGATCGAACTCAGGACCTTGCTATGTTTCTATTAAGTTCCAACTCTGATCACAATAATTTGCTTCATTTTTACAAAAATCCTCGTTGACATTGTCCATTTATTTCATACTACATCACACCGATCTGATGTGGCCAATGAACGTTTTACACCTACCTTTGTATGGTATTCCATAGCATCCAATTCTCCTTGATTGAAAACCACACATTTCTTACGCTTCTAGAGAATAGATAAATTACAAGGGAGAAGTTACATTGCCATCTATCACGATACTGACATTTGTAAACATATCAATACTTTTTTATTTTTCTCATTTTCTATATGGTGTATCCCAGTCTTTAAGAAGTAATAATTTCCACTGAGGGCAAAACCAGCACAAAAGTATAGACTCAGGAGGTAGCATTCCCAAAGTTAAAGAGGATGGGGTGAAAAGCCTTGTCACCCTATCTGCTGTTACTGAGAAGGTTCACGTCATAAAATGTAGTACCAACAGCCACCATAAAGAAGGGAACTACATTCTGCACAGACATTAACCTGTACAGTGTCGCCTGTCAGCTGACATATATGACACTATTATTTCCAACCTTCTTCATTTCTGAAAAGCAGAAGTATCCGGGGTTATCAAAGGAAATTCACTGTACTTTCATTAGCTCTTTATGATGATCTGAGGATTAAGTACAAATCAATATGAACATGTACCAAACTCCTAGCCAGCTAAAATACAAGGCTGTTGGCTGAATACATAAATGAACTTAAGAGGATGCTAAATGTATAACTTGCTTTAACATACGATAAAGGTAGGCTTTGTCGAGATAACATCTGTTGCTTAGGTTCGTCTATATTTAATGTCCACTCACGGAACTATAAAGGCCTTTATAAATGATTATCTGAATTAGCAACAGTAATGACTTATTACCTACATACTATTTCCTGAAATATTAAACTGTGTATATTTTCTTTTCTGTGTCTGGCACGTAGATGATCAATAAATATTTATCCAAAGGAAAAAATATGCAGCAAAAACTATCATGAGAATAGTAAACGTCCCACTTCCCATACCTATACCAATGTATTAAATTGTCTCTATTACTTTACTTTTCTAGTTCTCCGATTTTCTTTCTCCTCTGTTCAATTATAAGACGTAGGGGGCAGCGTTTGTGTTATTCTGGTTTTATCAGTCTACCTACAAAAGCACAAAGAAAGACCTCAAACATTTCTTGGTGATAATGAATACTATTCACACCACTAACAAAAGACAACACTGACAGTTTATCTCAAAGGGGTTTTGAATAATCATCTCTGAGCTCCCGAAATATACAAAAAGGATTAAAGCAGAAGCAGCTGATCCTGCATGACCTTCTCAAACTTCACAAAAGGACTGTACCTCTAGGGCATATATATAAATATATATATATTTATAAATATATACATTTTCCACAGTACCTTTCTATTTATCGCTGGAAACGTTTCAAAAATATCTAACTTCTGGGCCTCCGGATTTAGCTCAGTGGTTCCAGTGCCTGCCTCGCAAGTGCAAGGGCCCGAGTTCCATCTCTAGTATCAAAAAGAAAAAAAAGAGAAAAAAAATATCTAAGTTCGCTCAAACTCTTTTTTTTTTTTTTTTCAAAGTCTTATTATATGGGCTGATCTCCAAGGGACAGGTCCTAAAAATCCCTCAGAACCCATTTACAACTTAAGAATTTTCTACAAAAAGAAATTTTTTTAGTAAAAATACTAAGTCTGACTAGCTAAACAGAAAAAAAGGGTTTGGTGATGTTTGGTTTTGTTTCATTTATAGAACAGTGACTTCCAAGCCAACCTTGTTTATGCTTGAAATACACAACTTGGTCCCCTAAGAATGGCAGAATGTTAGAAGAATTAAAAATTACTCTGGATATAGTAATGCCTTCTTAAGCTTTCTGGATTCTTCTTTATATGTAACAAATCACAAGATACTTGAGATGCTGGAATGAAAACTTTGCACTTTGTGGAAGAAAATAAGAAATGTTTTAAATATTCTACCTTCCCAGTAATAGAAGTGGCAGTTTCTTTTTTAACACCATTCGCTGCATCTTCTCTCTCACTCCTTTGCTGGCCTTCTCCATGAACAGCTGCAGTTATATACGGTTTGGTGACATGAAACAGTTCAGATCGAAAAGCGTATTTCTGAGTGAACATTCCACAATTTCCTCCATCCTTATTCCCTGGCTTAGTGGTAGAGTCACAAACAACAAAGGTAGCAGAGGATCCGAAGGAAGACTTAGAATCCATCCGAGGAGAATCAAAGCCGACAGAAGTGGACTCATTTTTCCTGCAGCAAGGCTCCTGAGGCTGATGAACTCTATAGTTTATCTTGTTAATGAAAGAAAGATGATCCAGTAACCACCCAGGGGACAACTGATGTACCACAGACATTGTTCCCCTTATGAAAAAGTCTGGGAATTAGAAATCGGAAGTAAAACTCAACTGCGAAGATCAAGTACTTAATTAAGGTCCTGTATTTCGAGCTGAAACCCCAATCTGACCCTCCCGCTGTCTTCATGGAACCTCCGTAACTTCACTGCTTTGGTCCTTGTGTCTGGCCACTGGGTCCACATCCTCCAAGAAAGGAAGTCACTGAGTCCTAAAAGGTAAAAAGTGACCTGTCAAATCAAACAACAGTAGATGACCTATGTGAATTCAGCCTTTTTAATGAGATAAACACATCTAGGGAGGGTCACAGAATTTCAAAAGGAGTTGTTAACAGATCAGTGCTTGTTTTTCCAAACTAGATCCAGGACAGTAAATGAAGCCCATTCTCCAAAATCCCTTCCCTCCTTAACCACTTCTGTCAGGCAAGAACCAGGGTTAAAAGATTGGACTAGACAGAGCTAGTGCAATTTTGATGGCACACACAAGCACTAATCCCAGCAAAACTGCACAGTTAAAGTCAGATCTACCTCAAGTAACTAGTTTTTTCCAAACTTCTAGATCTTTTTTTCAAAAGATGGTTTAGAGTTCTGAATACAGCTTTATAAATGGAATGTAATAGAGAATTCAGGCGAAGGGAGGGATGAGGGGGAGAAAAAAGAAATAAGCAGTTAGTAGCAGAGTTAATATCATTTAGATTCAAATTTCTAAGTCCACGTATTAGCAGTATAACCATAGAAAAGCTGCTTGATCTGAGCCTCGAAGTCATCATTTTTGCAGAATGGAATGAGATAATCCACACGAAATGCTGTGCACAGTGCCCGACATGCAGCAACTGTCATGTAACCAACTGCTGCTATGGGTGACGGTGACCCTGGGCACCCTTCGTCCCCTTCATAGTCACCATGTGAGGTGAGAAAACCCTGTGCAGTCACTCCTTTAACGACCGAGCTCCATTCCTGCAAGTAGGTCATTAACTGAATCAGTCACTAAGTGAGGAATCTGTACAGAGTATGCACATTTCCATATTCAGAACAAGAAATGGTCAAAGGAAACTCCAACCTGAGGGCTTTTCTTTGCATAACTCTCACATGCAGGACTGTAGAACAGAACTTGAAGTTACAGTACTGTATTGTACAGTACAATGAGCAAAAATTAATGGTACTTCCTAACAAAGGTAAACTGTCCTAAAAAAAGATACAGAGGCTCTATAAACAAGATGTACAGAACTGCACCAAAAAAAAAACACACATACACACATCATAAGTCTGATCAGTGGGTTGTAAGTTCAAATAGCACATCTTCACAAATCAGACAGTCATTAAACAGGCAGGTCATTAAATGAGGAATGTCTGTATTAGATATATAATCAAAAATAATTCGAGCTGCCATCGCTCAAGTGCCGGGAGGTAGGCTGGGCCCAGATCCACGGTGGGAAGGAGAACCACACCTGCTCCCGACCCAGCCGCCATTGCTCAAGCACTGGGAAGGTAGCCGCACGGGCACCCCTGAACCCCCATAAGCCCCCCCCACCCATACGCTCAGTCCTCCTGACTGTGCCAGTCTTTGGACCCACTCTGCAGAGGCAGAGGTGGTCATTAAGTGTATTTTTCTGAGTTCTCAACTTTCAACATCTTTAAAGAAAGGGCATGGGAAACCTGTAATAGAACAGGGAGGAGTTCAACCATTCAGAAGGATGGGGAACTCAATCTGGGCCTTGCAGCCCGAGGTCAGTCAGCGTCAGGGGGTTCAGCAATCAGCTAACTGAGATCAGGGGTGTTGCATCCTCGCTCTGTCTGAGCCATTAAATGGTAAATACACTATATTGAAATTTTGTTCACTGCAGACATGTTCTGGACTGCTTCTTGATTTCAATTTAATGCAAATGATTTAAGGGTGATAGATTAGTGACTACCACATGTGGTCAGTGTTCAACTGTGCTTGATCTTAATGTGTTGCTGATTGTATCAGTTGGGGTAAAGCATTGCCGTTGATTTGATGAGCTGTTTTCTCTGATGTTATGAAGATGAGAATGCCTATGGGTCGTTAGAGACACAGAAACTAGGGTGCAACTATATCAGGAAGATTTGGGTGATAATCCAGAGATTAAACCAAGGACAGTCCGACAACAAAAATAAAAATGAGATTAAGCAAGACACAAGGACAGACTTCCAGTTCACCAATGGCAAACAGTAGGACAAATGAGGATGAAAAGGCCGATAGTGAACCACCAGGACACCCTGAACTCAAAGCACAGGAAGTAACAAAACAGATCAATCAGGCTCTAGAAAAATTCAAAACAGAAATAATTTCCCAGATAACCATAGAGATAGTGAGCAAAATGGAAGTCATGATTTGAGACTCTAGAGCAGAAACTGACAAAAAAATAGATGAGCTCAGGACCATGATAGAAGCCATGAAGACCCAGCATAAGAAAGAAATGGAAAAAATAAACGCCCAACATAGGAAAGAAAGAGAATCCATAAAACAGATTCAAACAGATATCCAGGAGATTAAACACTCTATTGAAAGTTTATGCAACAGAATAAAAGAATGTGAAGATAGACTCTCAGATATAGAAGATAAGATTGCAGTCAGTGACCATGAAAAGAGAGGTCTCTTAAAAACAGTAAGAGATCATGAGAAATCGATCCAACAACTCCTCGATGATGCAAAAAAGAATAACATAAGACTGATAGGAATCCATGAAGTAGCAGGAGAAAATACAAAGGACTTTAAAAAGCTGTTCAAACAATTAATGACAGAAAACTTCCCAAACAGAGGGGAAGAATTTGACATTTACATAACTGAGGCATGAAGGACCCCAACTAGCCACAATCAAAAATAATCTACACCTAGACATATAATAATCAAGATCCCAGAAACCCAACAGAAGAACAAAATACTACAAGCAGTAAAAGAAAAGAAACAAATCACATACAAAGGAAAGCCCATCAGAATCACAGCAGACTTTTCAACACAAACCCTTGGGGCAAGGAGAGCCTGGAATGAGATATTTCAAGTACTAAAAGAGAACAACCTCCAACCTAGACTGATGTATCCAGCAAAACTCTCTTTCAAAATGGA